AAAAAAAAAAAAAAAAAAAAAAAAATGGCATCGAACATTTCTTTTTATTTTCATCTGAAAGACTTCATCAAAGATTTTTACTTGTATAGTATCAGTATTTCAAATTGTAAGTGTACATATGTGGACATCATGTTTGAAACAATCATTCATAGCTTTTTATTTTATTTCAGGAATTGATTCCGGAGTCCCGTTTTTAACATTGTATTGTCGTTACATCGTCCCGCACATTTATGTACATTAGGTAAAGGACCAGATAATGGATCAATGAGAATGTAAATAATACTTTTTTTAAAGGGTAACGATGGAGTTTCTTGTTGGTTCTTCTCCATTTGAAACTACACTTTGAAACGAGCGCTTAGCTTCACTGACAGACAGACGGACGCAATTCAATTTTTGACGTTTCAAAGTGCTTGATTGATTATTAATTCAAATAAATGCTTTGAGGTTGACTTTGACTTTGAAGTTTTTGAGATTTGAGGAAGGGTTTTGCGACATTTTTAGAGTCGATCAGAAATAATCTCAATAAATAAATTTACCCAAAAATCTTTATTTAAACTTTTTGTATCAATACAATATAAATATTACCCTGCTACTCTATAAGACTTTCAAGATCTTGTTGTCTGTTTTTGACAGTTGTGCGGTCCGTGTCAGGCTGTGCTCGCGCATCCACGTAAACTCTGACTAATCGATTAAACTCCGAACTTCGTTTTATAAACGGTGCATTGGCACCACGCACCTTGTGTAGGGGAAATTTTACTAGGCATTGTAGCATACAACGTTCTGCGATTTTGTAGCTGCAAAAAAAGTTTAGTTTTATGACAACCGTTTTTGCTTATAGTAGATGGCGCCACTCAAGAATATGGTTCTGTCAGTGTAATTGGTTTGCTTATCATACCAGTGGGTTAATCGACACTGCTTGAATGGTTTTTAGGAATTCTCTTTCTAATTCTTATTCTATTTTAAAACGAGTAATGAAATAACAGTTGTAATCGCCAAGTAAAGTACCAGTAGTGTTAGATACTATTTATAATATCTCAAGTATGATTCGATACTTAACTAATTTATATACAGCCTCTTAGAAGGTTATTCCTTTACAAGGTTATGTTATGCAGTCTCATGCATATCTAAAAGGGTCGTAGGGCCAGTAATTTATTTAATTGGAAAATATAAATATACATAAGTAGTATTTGCTATAAATTAAGTAGATTGTGTTATATCTATCCGCTTCTTACGCAAAAAAAATGAAATGCATTTTTGATCGATATTAAGATGTGTGCACCGGAAAAGGAAAATCCTTGCACACCGCCTTTGTAGGAACTTACCCTATTTTCTTGTTTTTGGAGCTTGATATATTGTCTCAAATCGGTGTACAATAAATATTATTATATTCTATTCCATTCTATCCTTGTATTATGCTTTAAAGATGTTTACCTGTACCTAATCCTAAATTATGGTGGACCTTACGTCAAACCGGTTCAACGTGACCTTGATTTTATTTTTGGCTACTTACTCATAAGGATTGATGCAGTCCATGCGAATAACGTTGTACCCTTGATCGTAAGCTAACTCTTTACTTTTTTCCGCCATAAATACGCCTAGACCTTGTCTTCGAAATTCTGGTAGAACTGTTAACATTTTTATCTGGAAAATTATAAATTATAAATTTGAGTCTCATGTTTTTTTTTCTACTGCCTCGTTGGCCGAATGGTCGCAAGTGCGACTGTCGGGCAAGGGGTCTCGGGTTTGATTCCCGGGTCGGGCAAAGTATTAGTGGGTTTTTAAAAAAATCTCAGTAGTAGCACGGAGTCTGGAATTGTGCCCGGTATATGGCAATAGGCTCGCCCTTACATGGGACTCGTAACATAAATAGTGAAAAGTGGGTGTTGCATTGTACAGTCGCATAATGTGTACCTCTGCCTACCCCTTCGGGGATAGAAGACGTGATGTTATGTTATGTTTTATTTCTATTCTATTCTTAGAGATTTCTCAGCATGAGTTTAGCAGCTAAGCTCTTACATATTTAGTATTAAAAATACTGTCATTTTTTAGTCCATACCTCATAAACTTTTTTCTGTTTGAATACGTCCCATAAGTTAGGTGTCTCCTGTAGTTTTGCCGTGAAATATAAGAAGTCTTTGGTGTTAGGATCCTATAAGAAGGAGAACTCGAATAACGTAGATGCCTTATCTATACTTGATGATATTTTAAAGAGGAAAGATTTGATTTATTGCAATTATTTATTTGTGACTGCCTCGTTGGCCGAGTGGTCGCAAGTGCGACTGTCGAGCAATGGGTCGGGTTCGACTCCCGGGTCGGACAAAGTATTACTGGGTTTTTTTTAAATGATCAGTAGTAGCACGAAGTCTAGAATTGTGCCCGGTATATGGTAATAGGCTCACCCCTATTATATGGGACTCATAACATAAATAGTGAAAAGTGGCATAATGTGCGCCTCTGTCTACCCCACCGGGGATAAAAGGCGTGTGTTATAATTACATTGTTATGTTATATTATTTATTTGTAAATATGCTCCGAAAATTAAGAGTCCGATTTCAAAAAGGTATCAATGGAAAAGTAACCTTGTAAAATCAGATCGCCTATATATGTTAGGCTGCCTATATCCCCGATATTTCTACCGATCGGGAAATCTAAATCTCCATAGCGGATGAAACCGCATGCAGAAAACTAGGAGTTCATATTCACAAAATAAGATAACGTCTACAAATGTTCGATGCATATCAAAATTGGGAAAATACCTGTCTATAAAAAGCATAGTTTCGTAAGTTCCTAGGGTCAATCGGGCTACTGGCAAAGTTGACACAAAGTCCCGCTATTGTGCCGTCGTCCGCCCTCGCAAATATTGAGTTTCCTAGAAAAACCACCACAGTTGTTTACTACACTATGTTGTAATCTATACCTTGTTGCATCGCAATAGGACAAGATCAGCTTTATTTCAAGGCATTTATAACAAAAAAGGTGTTACATCTTGCACTACTGCGTCTGCCTGCGTGGGGAACATAAGGCGTATCTATATGATATAAAGGTGCGGACACAACAGCTTTAGACAGATAAGGGGAGGTATACATAATACATACAAATCTCACCTTGTTTGAGTAAACTGATGAGGTACTCATCAAGTGCACAGTCGTTGGAGATGTCCATGTTTCGTGATCGTACTAAAACATGTTCACTCAAAAAATGTTGCTTAATCACTTCCAAAGCAATATCGTGGTGTTCACTCGTAACTTGGGACAATGAAAAATGTTCTGGCTGGAATTATCAATTGGGAAATTTAGCTTTAAACTGTCAAACACCAAGCGGTCACCGGTGACCGCAACCTATTGTTCTATAATTGTGTCTACAAAACCGGTACTCGACGAGTTAAGGTTTGTGTAATAGAGGACAATTTATTAAATATCCTTACAAAAGAGACATGAAAGCACTAAGACCTTAGAGAGATGATAGCAACATATTTGAGAAACGTGAGAATATCAGAGCAAAACTTGTTACAATAACATTTTATTAAATGACTAATGGTTATGCTACCTTTGTACAGTCAATGTACTGCAGCCCTTTAATATAAATTATATCAGATTAGACTTTATATTAAATTCAAAAAGACATGTTTTTGAGCAGAAATTAAAATTGTACCTATGTCCTGAAACGTAGGTAAAACTGAGCTGCTATCAGTAGCCTGCCAAGCTTGGAAATCATAGAAAATTTTCTATAAGAAGAAAATCTAATCTAATCTAAGAAGATCTTTGTTCAGCAGTGAACATATTCCATTCCGTGATTGTCTCGTTGGCTGAGTGGTCGTAAGTGGGATTGCTGGGCAAGGGGTCTCGGGTTCGATTCCAGGGTAGGCTCACCCCCTATTACATGAGACTCAGAACATGAATAGTGAATAGTGGGTGCCATTAAGTGCCGTTAATGTGCACTTCTGTCTACCCCTTCGGGGATAAAAGGGGTGATGTTATGTTATGTTATATGTTGAACTTATTCCGACTGCTGCTGATGATGATAAAATGAATTCACACCAACCTTCTCCTGGTGTATCAAATCCATGATGCCGAACACACTGTGACATTGTTTCGACTCGATTAGTCTAATATTCATTAATTGAGACAAAATAGCAGGACCGAACTTTGTTACCGGTAGACGAAACATAACGGGAATTTATCACAGAATCTCTCTAAACTTTGGCTCCAAAAACTATGCTGTACCGATTGACAGCTGAATGACATTACGACAGAATATCCAGTCAAAATTAATGGCCAGTACCTTAAATATAAATATGAAACCTAATTTTAGATTTGCACGAGGGTGCCGGTTCGAAACTTACCAACGGTAAGTACAGCACCAATGTGACTTTTTCCGAGTTATATTATTGTGTACTTAAGATTATTTAGGCACCACTGACAAACGGTGAAGGAAAACATCGTGAGGAAACCTGGCGATTTCAGAAAGAAGTATATTCAGTAGTACGTAGTAATTCTTATAATTAGTCATTCTTATTATTAGAAATTATAAGAATTCCTACGTATAAGTCTGAAATCGCCAACCCCCATTGCGCAAGCGTGGTGGTTTACGCCCAAACTTTCTCCGTACGAGAAGAGCAAGATGCCTTTGGTCTGCTGTGGCTACTTAAAGGTGATGTGTGATATGACCATAAAACACGTCTCCTCGAGAACAACCACCAAAACGTGCTTCCTCAGGTTATCTAAGACAGTTCATTAATAAAACAAATTAATCGGATTAGCGTTAAAGTTTAATTATTCTTGAAATAATTAATCTGAGCTCATAACATGTATTGTTGTTACTTAATCGTTTGAAACTCGATAAACGCAAACGTTCCAAAGATTCTGTGATGTAGTGGCTCCATCTCGACTAGAATGAAATTACTTTTTACAAAACTCGCAGTAATATTATGTAAGTAGTACATGAATTTGTGACATAGACCAATTACTAATTTTATTTAAACGGTCCATCTTTTTCTAGGTACCCTAGAAACACTGGCGCAGTTAATTAGATGTTTAGAACTGGTAGACCTTACAGAAAAACCCTCCAGATGGAAATGGGGCGCCAAGAAATATGATAAGATACCGGTGAAGTATGAAGAATATAAACCAATCCATGTAACAGTAAAGCCCATACGAAGGTACTGGTTACTGAGTGATAACAATCAGTATTCGAAAAGCGCTCCGGTGCAGCAACGAGTGTACGAGGACGAAAAAGACTCGAACATCAAACAGAAAATAGCGATGCTTGTGGAACAAACTATGCAGGACGCTCACAGGAAAATGAAACTGGTAGAAGAACTGAAAGCCGAACATCGAGAAGAGGCTCCTTATAAAGTTGGTTTTATTCTCAGCATGGTTAAAAAATCTAAGGACGTTTTGGACGAGTTGTTCAACGTGGCGGTAAAGCACAAGGACGAATGGATGGCTCTAGAACAGCTGAAGATCTTCGAACTGATCGTACACACAAACGTCGACACCACGAATCTCCTGAGGCAGCTAGTCGACGTACATGTGAAGTACATGAACGCAACGAGGGATAAAAATAAGGTCATATTAATTTAAATGAAACGTGTATTGCTGTTTAACTAGCTAAATATTAAGCGATATTTATCACCATTTATCACAAGATCTCTGTAGGTAAAAATAAAAATTGGCCGACTATTGCACAGACTACTTTTTTCTTTCTTTAGAGTCGTTAGTACCTCACTGAAACTAATTTAGACTAAAACCTGTAAACGAAACAATACACGAAGATGAAAATGAACATTTTGGTATAACCGAACCAAAAACTGTGCACTACAATGACTGGAACCCGCAGATTCAAACGCGTTGATTTCCATTTACATCAAACAGAAGTGTTTTGTTCCATTTCCATTTGTGTTCGAAGTAAAAAATGCTGCACTATATTCACTAGACAATACACACACGTGGATTCCGAACCGCACATTGTGTAGCATCTTCTTAAATAATGAGAAGGCGCATCCCATCTTTTCCGTGCGGTAATTATTTCTCAGGTGGCGCTGCTGAGCCACGCCACACCTGCGCCATGATGAGGTCGGCGCTAGTGCATTAGTTGATGACGTCACGGTTCGGTTACGACCCCACACGTTTAAATGTTTTGATGTTGGCTTAAGAGAGACTTATTAATTTAATATTCTTGTGATAAATCTGAAGGACTGTTTAAAACTGTTATTTGTGCTAACGGAGGAGTTAGAATTATGCTGGTACTCTTTTTAATGCCAAAAACTTAGGTGTGTAATCTAATAGAGGTCTGATACTCTGATTATAAATGAATAGATACATCTGATCTTTTTAATATAAAACTCAATAAATGCTAATTCAATTGTCATTCTGAGCTCGAAAACTTCAAAACTCCCAGAACGACGATTATAACTTTTACGTCTTGTCGTTCAATTCTCTTGAAAATTCAAAGAAACGACATCACGCACTCTCGTCAGTAACATGATCAAGAATAACTATATTCATGAATACAATGATTGATTAGATCCCCAGTCCACATACGGGACCCTTTTCCCCACTTTGCTAACCAACAGCTCCCAAAATAGGTATCGTATAAAACAAAAGAACATCACAATGGGGATATGAAAAACTTTTTTGGCTTAAATATACAATGGAGTGTAGGTAAATGTGAAATAGATGTATTTTGGCTGTATGGTTTATGGTATTAGTTCTACATATGTGAGAGGTGAGGTAATGAAATGTTTTGTTATGCGCTTTACCAATTTAGTTGTATCTTGATAACTGTGTGAATTTTTATATGGAACTAGCGACCCGCCCCGGCTTCGCACGGGTGCAATATGCATGTATTATACATACAAACCTTCCTTAAGAATCACTCTATCTATTAAAAAAAACCGCATCAAAATCCGTTGCGTAGTTTTAAAGATCTAAGCATACATACGGACATACAGCGAAAGCGACTTTGTTTTATACTATGTATTGATAAGCCGGTAAAGACGTTTCAATAGTACCTACCTGTATATGGTTTAGTTGAAATACCTAAATGCTTTTTGACTTTGACTAGGCAGCTTTAGGATCGTAGAAACTCTAAACAATGCAACTAACAAATAAATAAGTATAAATAAAAATAATGAATAGTACCCGATAAATAAAGTATAATAAAGTATATAGTTTAATAAATTGTAATGTTTAGTTACTTTAGTTAATTGAATACAATCAATTTAGTTCTATAGCTCTTCTATACAGGATTTCAATCGAAACAAAGCCTTTCTCCTAGAAACCCTAAATAAACTAACAAATAAATCAGTATAGGTAAGTAATAATAATAAATAGTACCTGATAAATAAAATCTAGTTTAAATAATTGTTATGTTTAGTTACTTTAGTTAATTGAATACAATATATTTAGTTGTATAACTCTTCTTTAATAATGAGAATCGAAACAAAGCCTTTCCAAATTCACTTTTGTCATACAGCAACAGTTAAAATAACTTAAACATAAATGTTAGGAAAGAAAAACAATGGAAATAACTAAAACTTTGTACGGCCCATTCATATTTTCTTGTCGAATGCGCGGCGTTGCATCGTGCGCGCTCATCCGCTACCCCGCCCGCCCAAAATGACCAGTAGTAGGACCAACTCGTCTTGATCTTGGAAATATTTGATCTTTATAATAATCACTTCATACAAACAAAGTCCCTTTCTGTTGTCTGTCTCTATGTGTGCTTAGATCTTTAGAACTGCGCAACGGTTTACGAAAAGTATGGTGATGATTATCGAAATGGACCTAATGGGGATTTTGAACTAATACCTAAATAGTGTTTCGAGGGGAAGGATTATACGTAAGTAATAGATACTTCTACAATCAACGAGTGCCAAGCCGCGGGAAAAAGTTGGTGGTTTATTTTTAACATGATTTGATAATATTTTTCTGACAAATGAATACGTTTTTATTTCTCATCATATTTTATATTCTATTTGATTTTTTTATTATAGGTAGATGGTTCTTTGTGTATTATATTTTAATTAATAACAATAATTAAATAAAGGCGAAAATTACTCGTGCGTTTGATATGTGTAATGGAAATTCTGGTTCGTATTATTTTTTAATTGGTATTCATAGCGTGTAATTAATTAAAGGAATTCATTAATCAAGGTATTCTTTAATTAGTAATAGTGATTACTGACCATTTTCAAGTTTCCGATAATGTTCGTGTTTTTAGGGATGATAACATGATTATAATACAATTTGCAGTATTATGTAAGTCTATTTTTCCTCCTTTATTTATTATTAGAAGTTGTATATGAATCAATAACAAAATTGATAAATTTTAGATACTCATTTTTGTACCAATTTTAGATACAATGCAAATAATCATCAAAAGCTCTATCTGTCTCAATGTAATCGATTTGCCACTATACTCGGAATTTTAATTCGATTCCAGATTTGACAATTTCAGTGTTGCAACGTTATGACAAGTACTAAATAGGGACGTTGCGAAATTATTCGATATGGAAATGCAATATTTCTGGATCGATTCTTCTCGTTTATAATTTTACTCTCGTAAACTAAGTATATCAGGAAATTAAATATTTCTGAACCGATAATTTAGTTTTGACGATTAATTAACGATCTGAGACTTTTCTTTTATAATTGTGTGTGAAATAAATAACAAAATGTAATTATGAAGGAACATGACAAATAAAACAGATAGATGTATTATGGTAATAAGTTATTTTATAAATTGTCGCCGTCATTGCTATCCCTATCCTGTCATTTTCTGTAACATTTATTATAAAACACACACACTGATTGTTTATCGATTTTTGTGTTCATCACTACACTTTTATATGTGGTATCATTATTTCACAAAATGACAGTAGCTATTGTCAAATCTGGAATCTAATTAAAATTCTGACTATAGATGCGTATTATGTCAAAAGACCGATACAAAACAAAATATCGTTTAGAGCATCGGACATAGATGCTGAGCCACCGCCACAGAAGTTATCAACTGCGTCACCAACTTTATCGCCAATGACATCGACACCTGTGTCGCCATCCACGTCGCAAACTACATCACCACCAATACACCCAATATTGAATATACGCAGATATTGGCTTGTAAATGAAAAACCTCAAAAAAAGATATATTTAAAGGCCAATCAAGGTTATGAAGACGAAAAAGATGTTACTTTAAAAAGTAAAATATCACTGCTGGTTAATCAGACGATGGAAGATGGTCATAAGAAAATGCAAGAAATAGAATCTTTAAAAGAGAAATACAGGGACCAGAAACCTTATAGAATTGGCTTCGTCTTAAGTTTGATAAAGAAGTCGAGAGATGTCCTCAATGAACTATTTAATGTAGCTGTTAAACACAGAGATGAATGGAAAGCTCTAGAACAGCTTAAGATCTTCGAATTAATCGTCCACACTAACGTTGATACGACTAACCTCTTAAGGCAGCTTGTTGATATACATTTAGGTAATTCAACTTCGTCTCTTCCAGATCCTACGCAAAAAGGTAGAAATGGTTAAGTACATATCTTATAAGTTTATGTGCAATTATACAAATGTGATAACTACCATTTCCTTGAACGATACACAAAATATACCTTTACTAAAAAGTAAAAATAAAATGAAAAATATAAAAACACCTAAGTATTTAATTTATTACTTTCCTAAGTAAGAAATCTGGATAAAATCCGTATATGTACAAATTAAACAAAAAACATTTTATAGTGCCTGATTATAAAAATATTACAAAAAATTGCCATCAAAGATCAAGTCACCTCAATCGAGCTACACATTGGTCGGCGACTTGGTCAGTTTCTTTCATCTGGGTAGAATTCGTGGGTAATTGTGGCATTAAACAATAGGACCTCTTAGCAACACAAGTTACTCGCATTGTTCCCTCACAAATACTGGCTGGTTGTTGGACGGACGTAAGTTTATGCTTGCATGCATAGACAATAAAAAATCCGGATATTGTTTTCTCTCAAAAACACGACGAAACTGTTTTTGAATGGCTTTATTTGGATACGAGGCTTTGTATCGTCAGTCAGTGGTTTGTCTAAACTTTTGTTTAGAAATAATGTTGATGTGTAAACAAGGCTTTTTATTGTAAGTAGGTGGGGAAGTTTTTAAGTGATGTATGGTATTTATTGAGGGAATTGTAATATGAAGATGTTTTAGATGAGGCTTATAGTCCGGCAGTCGACTGTTTTATGCATTATGCATACGCATATAGTTAAGGTAAGGTAAGTAGGCAGTTTTTTCTTTAAAGATGATGAACTTATGAGCAGCTGTTATTACCTATTTAGTATTGTATAGTATTAGGTATGCGAATCAAAATTAAACTTGGGTAATGAATAGGTACATTTTAATAATTCTGAACCAATCTACAATCACAGTTTAATAAAAGCACAAACCAATAAAATATAGATTGAATCTGTTCAAAAATAAAATATTTCAATCAACAAAGAGCAGGTTTTAATTAATTAAATTCGTTCAATGCTAAAACATCACTTGCTTTCGAATCATTCTCAGACAAAGCTCAAAGTGTATTATTTTATAGACAAATCGAAACAGAACGGCATTATGTGCTTACATAATATACTTAGTACTTCTTTAAAACGATCTCTATGTCGTAGTACGTAGGGTAGATAATGCGACGTGTTATTAATGAAGTTAGGCTGTAACAGCATTGAGTGCAAATATAATAGGGGATGGAAGGGGGCGTGGCCGTGGCTCAGCGCAAATATAATCAAGGACAGGGACGACTGTAGAAGTGTCCCTTTTATTAAATTAATTTAAATATTAATTTGTTACACTTTTAAGTAACGATTAATGAAGGGAACTTTAATTGAAGGGAAATTTAAGTTTTCCTCTGTACTTATATTTAATTGCCATGTAAAGCTCACCAAAATGTTTTGTTTGGAAGTTTAAAGCGTTTCACGGGTTTTATTTCGAGAATAACTTGTTTTTGTATTTTAAACTTTTTTTATAAGCCGGTAAACGAGCAGACGGATCACCTGATGGTAAGCAATCCCCGCCGCCCATGGACACCTGGAACACCAAAAGCGTTACAAGTGAGTTACCGGCCTTTTGGAATTAGGAATTTGAGGATTGTTGGGATTCAGGGATTGGGGAAAGGAGGGGGGGGGGGAGGTAATTGGGTTTCCGGTAAGCTCACTCACACGACGAAACACAACGCCAGCGTTGTTTCATATTAGTCTTCTGTGAAGCCGTGGCCGTGGTATCACTCCGGTCGAGCCGGCCCATTCATGCCGAAGCATGGCTCTCGCACACTTAAACTCAGGAACTTAAAGTAATAATGAGCATGGTCTTGATTGTCTTGCTGACAAAATAGAATAGGTAAGCTAAGTCCATTAACTATCTTGAGTTTCTCTGCTCCACTTTTTGTTTTGTAACAATTCGTTTCAGCATTAATCACCTCGCGTGCTCAATGCGGGCTGGCGATTTTAAACTTATAAAAAGACATTATAAAAGGTTTCTTCATGATGTCAAATACGGAAAAAGTCACATTGGTACATGCATGCTTAAACCTCAGTGCGACTACGATCACCATTGAATGAATCTGTTACGCCCAAAATCTTAATTTCAAGACCATCTCTACATCATCATAGCTCGTAAATCCCAATCAAAGCCACCACAAAACAAAGACACCAATAATACTAACATTGTAGTATGAATGTCGTCTCCACCGCGCCGCTGTGCACTAATCAACGCGGCTGTACGTCTGTGCTCTCTATCACAATGCTGCTATTACATTTGCTCAATAATTGCCGCCACCCCCCTGTCCCCCCTTCACCGCAGATCTCAACCCCTCATCCCCTTGCTAAGTTAGTAATAACCGAGTTAGGTGTTTAGGTTTTGTTGATCTTTTGTATCTGAAGATTGGATATTAATACTTTTTTGTGAAGTACAATTGGGGTAATGAATGTTATGCTTTTTACGTCCCCGAAAAGAAAGACAAAGTTAAATTTTGTTTTAGAGGTATTAATTGGGTACTTGCCAACTAGTCAAATTCAATACTTTTTTGGAACTGTCAAAAACGACAGTGTTATCTATGAATTTTCTTGTGACGTCACGTTTTTTAGCGTCAAACAGCAAATTTAATTCTTAAAATTTGCTCCAAAAATACTAAGATTTAAGTTGGTTATAAAATCAATTAATGAAAGTCTACAATCAAAATAATTTATTTTTGATTAACACGTTAAACGCCATGGCAGTCACCGGTGACCGACATTAGCGGAGGATTTGCCTTCAACAGTTTTTTATTGGCAGCCAATGCCTTAAAGAAAGTGCCCAATTATTAAAATAGTACTTAGTATGTAGGTACCTACTGCTAAGAAATTCGAAGTCGAGAAGCTTTATAATTAAAATACAACAAATCGAATAAGTCTCATGTTAGAACAATAAAGTAAACAATTTTAAAAACATCATAATCATCATAACATCGCGCCTTTTATCCCCGAAGGGGTAGGCAGAGGTGCATACAGAAGTAAAACCCACTTTTCACTATTTATGTTATGAGTCCCATGTAATAGGGGGTGAGCCTATTGCCATATACCGGGCACATTTCCAGACTCTAATCTACTATTACTGAGATTTTTTAAAAACCCAGTAATACTTTGCCTGACCCGGGTATCGAACCCGAGACCCCTTGCCGCACTTGCGACCACTCGGCCAACGAGGCAGTTAATTTACAATTGCATTTAAAGTATGCAGTGAAATGGTATTTAAGTATATTAGTAAATAGCTCTCGCT